TGTTGGCCTCCTAACAATATAAAAGCTCAAACAAAGTTAAACGTGTACTAGTAATAACTTGTTTATTAACATATGGTAGTATTTGTTTTAACTTACATTATTTATTGTCGTATACGGTAATAAATCTTCCCATTGCTGCAAGGTCTGTTTCCTCTTCCAGGAAATAGCCCTAGGAATATCATTAGAAGTTTTTAATGCATATGTCTGCATGGCGGGAAATGCCTCAAATATCCAAATCTAAAAACAATATAATAACAAACATTAATAATTGTTAAATAATTAATTATAATTTTGGAAACATTATATAAAAATTCTTACCTTAAAGGCCCAAATAAAGCTTGACAAAGTGTATTTGGAACCATCACCACGCAAACTTTTTCGATCATCAAAGGCAGACGACAACTTATTCCATGTAGCTTTCCATAGATACGAACCCCACGGAAACAGGTTCCATGCATTTAGGTCCTCTACCAATTTAATTAGATCATTAGGAATAGGTTGTCTTGCCTCTCTGCCTAAAAAGCCGGCATGCAAAAGTATTAGAAGGCATACTCGGACAACATCGATGTCATCCATCCGAGTAAAACCATATTTCTTATTCAATAATCTCGTCAAGTCTTCCACGTGTAAATTCGAATTCTCCATTGATAGCTAAGGAAAAACCCGGGATAACCATGATAGGCGGGTAATATGTCTAGTGTACCGACCTACATCATAGTGTCCGAAGCGTAGACCGGTGATTAAGCAAAACTCCTCCCGCCCAAAACACGTATATGCCGGTGGAAAATCAAACCATATATCTTCATCATGACGTTGTATAGTCTCTGGTAGATTGCTAGTCATGATTTGAAGAAACAGATGGGTCAACATAGCATCTCCACCCAGATGTTGTACTTTCAGCCATGGCCCGAAGCAAGTATCCTCAAGTATTTTTCTTTGTGCATGTGAAAGCTTCGACGCAATTGTTTTGGCCAGACTTACTTTATTTCTTAAGGTCAATTGAGCCGAATAAAAGTTCTACAAAAACAATAAACATATCAAGTTAGATATACCAAAAACTACACTGTGAAGATATACCAAGAACAATAAACATAAAGAGTAGTAGGTTATTCTTCAAACTTAAATTTGCAACACTGTGAATTTAGTATTTGTCTTTGTTTTTTTGTTGAAGTAATGCAATTCATTCAAGTTTCAATTTGCAGAAGAAGAATAGTTTCTGAAACTTAAAATCGCAACACGAAAATGACTATCGCAACGCAAATTTGACTATCGCAACGCGAAATGAAAATCGCAACGCGAAACTAAAATCGCATTGCGATTCTGTCGTTGCGATTTTCATTTCGCGTTGCGATTCTCGGTTTCAAATACTAAAATTGAAACTTGAATTGATTGCATTACTTCAACCAAAAGACAAAACAAAGACAAATACTAAATTCACAGGGTTTAAAGACTAAAGAGTTTAGCAGTATTGGCAGTAATCGAATGAATTTAATAAACAATCTAAATGAAATGGTTAATATATTATTGAAATTACCAGTAAACTTATCATCAATTTCAATATGAAAAACCTAATAATAATGCAAAATTTTCAAAATAAAAATAATTAAAAAAACTAACCCTCGGTGGTTGATTTGGTTGATTTTCCATTTTTGGCCGTGAATGATTGTGAGGGTGGCTCTGAGAGATGGAGATAGACGGATTTCGCCGGAGATGGAGACTGATTCCGTCGGAGATGGGGACGGATGTCGCCTTAGAGAGTGAGAGATGGAGATGGGATTGAGTTGTGATTTAGGGTTTTAGGTTATGAGTTGCGATTACGGGATATACTGTTGACGGTTCAGTGTTCCGATATATTAATATTCGTGTTTGGAATTTGAAAAAAATAACTCGTTGCGATAATAATGGCGCTTTGAAAATCGCATTGCGATAGTCAGCATCGCGTTGCGATAGTCAAAATCTCGTTGCGATAGTCATAATCGCATTGCGATTTACATATTCGCATTGCGAATTCAGAAAATCGCAACGCGAATTTGGAAAATCGCAATGCGATAGTCAGAATCGCATTGAGAATCTAGAAACTGATTTGCGATACCGGAGATCGCGTAGCGAATTATCGATCACATTGCGATTTAGTTGGTCGTTTTGGCAAATCCAAAAAAGTTGGTTAAAATCGTATATTATAAGGCATTTTTGGTCACTGATGTTATTTTCTCTAAAAAATTAAGTTTTTACCCATCCTCAACTGTTAATTAGGAATCTACGATATTTACAACAGTATCAAGCTAACTCACCATCTCGAGGTGATGAATTTTTTGAAATATAATTTTTAATGGACTCGGATGAGTGAATCCCAAGTGAGTCATTAATTTATTATTTCAAACGGACTCGTCTTGTCGAGATGAAAAATTCATGAAAAAAAAGTATTATTGAAAAAATTAAAATTAGAAATTAAAAAAAGGTAACTCGTCATATCGAGGTGACGAGTTCCTTCGAATTCAAAAACTAGTTGTTTTATAATTGTTGGTCAACAGATAGTTGTGCAACGGTCACAATAGAACTCGTCACGTTGAGATGACGAGTTTACCCGGGTTAAATTTAAAAAAAAAATTAATTAATTAAAAAAGTATTTTTTATTAAAATAACATTGTTTACAAACTGATAAATTTATTTACATTTTCTAAGTTCTTGATGAATTTGATGAGTGATCAAATGATAATGACGCGGGGATCGTCGGCCTTGATTGTCGTTGTCATCGTTGTCTTCATCTTGTCTAGGAGGTGCACTTAACACACTTTGAGATCCATCTTCGAAATACGATGGTGAGCTTATGGTATTTGACACCATCATTGTCGTTACTTATTCGACTTGGCAGCTATGTTATTGACCATATACCATATGATCTCATTCACCCTCACCAACATGTTCTGTCAAACAAGTTTGAGTGTCTAGATAGCCTGAGATGCATAATAATAATATTCAATTGCAGATACTGAAGCAGAAGAAGAAGTCGCCGATGATTTCTTCTTGGACTTGGGGAATCTGGTATGATGTTGTTCTCATTCTCCCCTCTGTTGTGGTGTCATGAGATATGGTTTCTCGATTGCTTCATAATTTCGGATATAGTGAGAATGGTCGAAATTTAGGTACATCAGTGTAATCTGGCAACGCGGGGGGAGCGATAGGTGACGCTGATTCCATAGCTCGATGTAGTAAGCGTGCTTCTCTTGCCAATTTTCGATATGTTTCCCATACATATCAATTCTATGGAGCACGACCATCTCAACGATTTGCGTAGAAATCAGGGACGTGTCACTCAACAATCGCAAAATGTAATAACGGGGTCGCGACACACCATAAACCTAACCCCTAAAAAATTTACGGTAGCAATAACCGATAGATCTCATCATCAGCATACGAAAGCCAAGAAAACTATAAATATTAAATATCAAAATTAATATATACATAAATATAATTTTTTTTAAAAATAATAAAAGAACAAATATATATCGTCGGTTATCAACCTACGATAGATCCTCATCCTTATATCTTTTGCAGTGGTACCCGACAACTCCGTCTCGATTATTTTATAACGCCATCTAAAATATTTAATAATAAAAAAAGATTAAAAACGGATAAAAATTTAATTAAGTTAATCAAATTTAAAAAAGTTAAAAAATACTTTCCAACGAGAGGAAACTTGACCGGGGCTGTTGTAATCGACATAAAAAATGGGAATCAATATCAAGCCTAGGATTATAGCAATATTAGACAACCTGTTGCATCGACTTTTCGACTCCGCTCGATAATTGTAGCCTTGCAAAGCTCCCAGTACAAAAAGGCTAAAATCACCAAGCCCCAACTGGTATTACGACACTTAGCAAAGTCACTTAATATTTGAAGATATTGAGTATTCGCCAAATTATCGGATTTATCCGATAATAACACCCCTCTGATCAGTTGGAGAAGATATGCTCAAGACAAAAAAACAACTCCGTCCTCAGTAGATCGACCGTCACTTGGAATTCAGACTCCAACCACGTCATCAATATCCGATAGCCATCGATGAACTCGGATGGTGGCAACTTTCCCAAAACTGATAGACCAACGTCCTGCTTCGTAATTGTTCTGCCTCACCACGGGACTCTATTCATAGGAATACTGAGTTTGTAAACGACGTCTTCCGAAGTAATCGTCACTTCACCACTCGAGAAATGAAAAATGTGCGCCTCGGACTGCCAACGTTCGATCAGAGCCTCAAACAACGACATCTACACCTTGAAGCCACGTACAAATATTATTGAAAGTAGATCGGATTACTGATGCGAATCTCTCGAAGTCATCCCATGCTAATGAATACTATGTTCTTTAGATCGGAGTTCAATCGATGAAATATAAACGTTATCAAGACGAAACATGTCTGCTCGGAAAGCCCTTTTTTGAGACTTTCACAGAAAGTATGATTTTTCATAACTTTTTTTGGATTTAGGGTTTGATAAAAAATTAAAATCTAAACCCATATTTATAACCTCAATTCCAACGGCTATAATGCAAAAATCCGATATAATTCTCACCTTAAAGACCATTTCCAAGTGACTGTAGCAACTTTCCATTAACTAACGGCTACAAAAAGACTAGTTTTTTGAATTCGAAGCACCTCGACACGAGTTCCCCTCTTTTTTATTTTTTATTTTAAATTTTTTTCAATAATAAAAAAATTAATGGAGTCATCACCTCAACGTGACGTGTCTGCTTAAAAACAATAAATTAAAGACCCACGTAAGACCCACTCATCCGAGTCCATTAAAAAAACCATATTTCACGAGGTGACGAGTTCGCCCGACACTTTAACAAATATAGTAGATCTCTAATTAAAAGTTGAGGATGGATAAAACCCTATTTTTTGTTCTAAATACCCTATTGGGCCAAAAAAGCCCGACTTCCCTGGTGATGAAAATCGTTTTTCATAAAATTTAAGCATATATGCACGAACAGCTAAATCACTGATAACAAATAATAAAAGAGAAAATATGTTTACAATTGTTCAAAACATATAAGCTAAGGCTACAAAAAAGAAGACCTCCTGCACTAGTAGAAACCTGAAATGCAACTATTCTATGTCTACTCCTGAACATCAACACCAGCTCAAATTCAGACTACCGCTAGCACTTAACAACGAAGAAAAAATGTGCAAACCTAACGTTATAGTGAAATAAAGAACAAGCAAAAGAAAAGACAAACATAAACATATGACTGGATGTGAATTCAAAACCGTCATTCCATATCGTTCAAGGATTGCCACGCACCACCTCATGCAGCTGCTTGGGTTGGCCCATTAGATCTAAATCCACGGCCCCTTCCACGATACCCCCTGCCACGACCACGGCCACGGCCTTCAAAGAGAAAACCAAAAACCATCAGAAACTATATTCTTTGCCTATTCACTTTCTTCTTAAAGCCACTGGCATAATGTTTAATAGCTTAATTTTTTATTTATTGCAATTGACGGACAATAGGAAATTTCTGTCCATGAACAACTCAATAATTGCATCTCCTTATTAACTTCTTTCTAAGTGCCACATCATTTTATTTGTATTCCAAGTGCACTTTGATTCTCCAAGTTCAAAATATTTCAAGTTGCATTTAAGAGAAGAAAAAAGGAAAATATTATAGGTGATAATAGACATGCATACCACAGTCCATGTGGAAAACTATTAAACATGTCAAGAGTTTATTAAAACTGAAACATAGAACAGAGAACTCACCACGACCACCTTGGGGAGGGATTTCATAATTGTAGCCATCATCTTCCTGCCTGTCGAACTGAGGTCCATTGTATCCTCCACGTCCACGGCCTCGGAGACCACGTCCTCTTCCTCGACCTCTACCCCTAGCATAGCCACGACCACGGTCCCAACCTTCATCCTCATGCTCAGCAGAGACAAAACCATTCCCTGGTGAACACAAATATTTGCTTAAAATATTCTCACATTACATTGATAAAATTCAGAGCCATGTTAAACCATGCCCCTAGCATAATAAAAAGGAACATCTAACAGGAAGTATATCAATACTCAAAATTGGCATTACCTCTACTCCTTGGCCTTCCTCTACCGCCACGGCCCCTTCCCCAGCCTTTAGGTGAGCCCTCTTCCAAACAAAAAGAAATTTATAAAAACTAAGTATAGGCATTCAACATCACCAGAAAAATGGCTATGCGAATAATGAAACGCATCCTTACCTCCTTCATGATCGATTTCTGTGGATGCCTTCACCTGATCAGCTGGTAATGGAGGCTGGTACCTGTATGAGGAAGTTATTCATGACTCATGTCAAATAAAACACATCAAGCCAACATCATTAGAAGCATAAAATCTTCAATTTGCGTATAAACTCTAGTTTCCAACATTCATACAAATGAAATTAAAACAAGAATGACTAACAAAAAGAACCAAACCGACCTTTCTTTAATATTTGAAGCTAAACAAGTATAATGAGCAGCAATGTACTTCCATCAGGAACTTACCCGACAGAGGATGTATTCAATTCTTTTTTCGAAAGGGTTATAGTGATCATAGACACGTGCCTGGTGGTCTCCAAACTGTGGTAAATAAGCAAAGGTTACAAAACTTCTCTATCGAAACATATTAAAGTCATTAAAAGAACAATAAGAAATCAAATGGTTCTTACGGAAGGAGTCCTTCCTCCAGAGGCTCCCACATATCTGTTATATCCATGGATCCAATCGATGTAATCTGATGTAGACCAACAATTCTTCTCTGCATTAAAAGTAAATGGAGCAAAATATCAGCCACCTTAAAAATAAACAAACAAAGATTAAAATCATTCACATAGATAAAACAGTACCTTAATTAACTCCACAATAGTCACGGTCTTGTTAATGGCTCTTCCCATTGCTTTCAAAACTATTTGATTCGATCCCTTTTCCTATCAGAAGGGTTGCAAACACTTAAGAAATAACACATTTATCAAAATAATCAAAACCCCAAATCTAATAAAGGTCTAAATATGCAGAAACCAAACCCGAAAAAGAAGAAAATTAAACCTGGAGCAGAGTCATGGCATAGGTGATGTAACTACGCATCCTGCCTTGACTGGTAATCCGAATCTCATTCTCGTCAATGGGTGTCTCTGCTTTCGGCTTCTCTACTCGCTGATAACGATCCATCTTTAAACCGCCAAAAAAAGATAAAATCAAAATTTCAAAAGCAGCCCAAAAACAAATATGGAAATTTCAGATTAGAAGAAGTAAAAGCGAAAATGAAGGATGGGGATTAGATCTGGAAAATTACCTGAAAAGATTTTTTGTTAAGGGGGTAGTGGAGGGAAATATTGGGGGGGGGGGATAAGCTCAACCAAGAGAGAGCCCTCTTCTACGGCTTGTTTTTCTTTTCTTTTACACACTAAAGCCAATCTATTGAAGGTGTTTCTCGTTCCTTTATACTTCTAAAACTGCCCTAACCGACTCATTCGGTTATCCGGTTCACCCGATTCTATTATCTTCCCTTAAACCGTGACCCTTAACGATACAGCTTTGTTTAAGTGATAAGTGTGACCGAATAGAAGAAGATGTTTTAATTGTGCATGTATACCCGTAATATAAAAATATTATTCAAATTTAAAAAATTTCAAAAATATATTACTAAAACGGCGTATCTAAATATACTACAAGTAAATTTATTGTTATTATATAAATATTAAAAAAATATAAAGATTTATCTAAAATTAACCATTAATTAAAATTTAATTTTAACTTTAATAAAACTACATTTAAATTATGATTTTTTATTAAACATAATAATTAATTTAAGTAATTTAATTTATTTAGTATTAAAATCTATAAATTATTTAAATTAAAAACGAATATCAACAACAGTCATCGTCGAACGCCTTAACTTACAGAGACACTCATCAAAAAGTATTATATTGCAAATTTAATATTGGCGTTTTCCGTCGATAATCACCCAATAATCGTCCAATAGTCGAACACCGGGAGAACTCCTGCAGAAAAGTGACCGACGCCCCTCCCTGTTTCATTGATTTCACGAAGGTGAAAGTTTTACTTAAAAACTATTAATTAAAAAATAAACAGTAATTAAATAAATAAATAAATAAATAAAAGAGACGATGATTGGGATCTATAACCAAATCCATTCAACATTGCAATATTCCATATGATATTTAGTTGATGGCTATGAAATAAACAAAAGCCAAAACAATGGAATACATATATTTAGTTTTTTACTTAAGAACTAAGGGGTTGTTTGTTTGCCTCTTAAAGAATCATTCAGCGTTGAATGCTGAACCGTTCAGCATTTAGTGCGTTTGTTTCGTACCTTTGAATGATTCAGTGCTGACTGATTTAGCAAAACAATGTTGAATGATTCAACACAGAAGTACATTCTGAATGATTTAGTACAGAAGTACATTCTGATTGATTCAGAATCATTATCAAACAACATGTCACATTCAGAGTTAATTCATACAGAGCGCAGCATTTGAATCATTCAACACTTAATCATTCTGAAGTAAACAAACAGCCCCTAAGTAGATCGTGGCGGAGCTGCAACTTAATGAAAATCTGAATTTTCTCTGATCAATTACTTATTTTAATGATGGTGTTCATTTTGAAATTTTCCGTGCTCACCTTGAAATATGTACTTTCTTCGATTAATTACTTATTTTACGAACGATGTTCACTCTGAAATTTTATTTATATCTATTCCATTTAAAGATTTTATGTTATTAAATTATGTGTGTCATCTGAAAAATATTTTTGGATCCGCCGTCACCGTTGATCACAATTTCTTAATAGAAAAAGGCCTAGCGGGTGCCCAATTAACCACCTCGGCAATAGACAGCCGCCACTTGGAGACACAGAGCCTCTCAAATACCTTCCCCTATCTCCAACAATGGCTATTGCAAACTCTGGCCATTCAGGTAAGAGTTGCTCTGCCAGTTTTGGCCCCAGTTTCTAGACATTGATTGCCATCCTTTCTTGGAGCCCTTGATCGACACAAAATGTACATCTCCTGCACCTCAACGTTTGTGATCAACACCAAGTTGCGATTGGCAGAAAGGCAGGCTCCGCCATGTCGAAGTGTTGGAGGGGAGGACTGCACCACCCACCTTTGTCGTTGGACAATTCCCGGTTTGGTGGGCAGAAGTTGATTGCGGTAACGATTATGGTTAATTTTAATAAAAAAAATCATAATTTAAATATATAAAGTTAAAACTAAACTTTAATTAATGGTTAATTTTAGATAAATCTTTATATTGTTTAATATTTATATAATAAGAATAAATTTGTTTATTGTATATTTCAGCACACTGCTTTAGTGGTATGTTGTAATACGCGACATGTGCGGTAGACTTTTTCATTCAAGTTATATTTCTTTCTCTATTTTCTTTATAAAAAATAATTTTTGAGAGTTTCGATAGTTACTTAAAAATTTTCATTAAATAACACATATCACTTTTGTATAATTTTATTTAGAATAAAAAATCTAAAATTTTAATAAAAAATTCTTAAAATTTTCTCAATTCTTAAAAAATCAAAACTTTAAAAACCTTAATTACAATATTTATATCTACGTCTATTCTCGTCCTTTGCCGTCATTATCGTTAATCTCTTCTCGATCGTATTTTCACCCACCAATTAGTTACGAGATGAGGGACCACTAGAATAAGAGCCTACGAACGTTAAATCCGACAAATAATAAAGTTACAAATCGCGACACTTGACGAACTCAATGGTCATTTTGACGATGATGGCAATGTTAACTGTGATTGACAAAGGATATGATAAGTTTATGATTAAAGATTTTAAGATTGATTTTAGGAATTTGAAGTTTTTAATTTTAGATAAATTAGAATATTTTTAAATATTTTAGAATAAATTTTGAAAATTATGACACATATCACTTAACTGACTTTTTAATATACGTTATGACGAAACATTTAAAATGATAATATTCGTAATGTTAAACACTTAAATTGATGAAAAAATAGACACTTAAATAACATATTTATAATTTAAACATTTAATATTGAATGATTGAGAATTATCTTTAAATATACATTACCTTATATTACCCAAATTAATAACAATTATAAAAGATGAACGAATACTACATATTAAACATTTAGTAGATAATTTTTCGGGTTAGTCGATCCAATCCAGATTAAAAACCAAGGAAGGAATAAGCTAAACCCAAGACCGAATTGATCCCTTATCCTCAACCCACCGCAAATGAGCTGGGTGAATCGTTTTTTTGACCCAGATCAGCCTAGAGGGACCTACGTCCTTTTCCAATTAATGCGCAAACTACATCTGTTATCCTTCCATTCTTACATGTAGTTTAATTAATTTTTTTCTTCATATTTCCTTATTATTTTTACCCATTTAACTTCTATTTTTTTACAAATTAATCCTCATTATATTTATTTATTTGTTATTAGTAATTATTGTTTATTGTTACTAACTTTTTTGTGTTTTGCATTTATAATAAATATTGCATTCATGAAAGGAATATCGATTAAATTTATATTCATATTGGTAACCTTTTTTAAAAAAAAATAGATAACATGTAGTTTTTAAAAGGTGTAATTTTTGAACTTATGAAAGTATTTTTAATCTTTAACGTACGTAAGCAACTTTCGAACTCATTTTTATTATTTGATTTTAATCAATATATCTAAAATTGTCGTTTAAAAAATTAAAATTCTTTTCAAAAATGCTATTTTATAAGTACCCAATCATACCTAGTTCAGAATTATCTAAAATGGTTCTAATTTATTAAAACATATATATTTTTTAGGAAATCATTTTTAAACCTAAAAACGATTTTAACAACCTTTTGTCTCCATTAGTTTAAACCCAAACTCAGGGATTGAAATCACAATGATTTTGGACTTATATGGAAGAAAAAGAAGAAAAATTTTGCACGCTTGAGAGGCTTTGATAAGACTTTGATGAATGGGAACTCACCTTGCTTGACCAAATTGGAATCCCATTTAAAAATCGATCTGGATGAAATTCATAACCGAGAGGAATGAATTTGGAGACAAAAATTTCAAAGTAAGTGGATTACTCAAGAAGATCAAAATACGAAATTTTTTCATGCTTGTGCAGGATAAGACCTCAAGTAGAAGTTTAAGGAAATTGTGAGCCCCCTACTTCAGTGATAGAACAGTAAAACCTCAAGTAGGTAGTACTTGATCTAGATCATGCATGTACCTACTACTTGGTACCATGCCTTTAGCATGCTTGTGTTTATGAAACTTTTCATGCTGCTCTAGATTAGCGATTATATTGCTGGGCTTTGTCCATTGGTAGGTTTCTAGCTTGAGTCATTCGTGAAGCACCGTCGCAATAGGATTTTCAGCATCTCTTACAGAGTATTGTACTATGGCTTTAGTGGGCATGCGTATTCATAGAACCTTACTTATGTATTGAGCAGTAAACCTCAAGATTTATTATTTTATTTTAAATTATTTGTCATAGAGCTTAGGTTTTGTAAAATATTTGTATAACAGTTATGTATATTTTATTTATAATACCATTGAGTATGTTTTTAAAAGAAAACTATGAGGTTTAAAAAATTAGAGGTTGTCTTGGTAGCCCAATGTGGCACTTTAGGCCCAATTAGGTTTAGGGTGTTATATTTAGTGGTATCATAGCATCAGATTGAGTTGGTCATAGGACCCAATGGTCGGTTTTAGTAACGTATCAGTAAATACATACATCTTGGTACTTAAAGTACTTATGTAAGTTTGGAATCTTGATGGTGCTTTCTTTCTTAACCTGTGTTGTAGAAAAATTTGATAATTGATAGTCCGAGCGCGGTCTTGAAGATTGAATGGAGAATTGAGCCTCATCCTAACAGCTCCAGTGAGGCGTTTCTGCCTATGATAGGGGATCAAGGAGTCCCATTGGATACAAGAGTCGCAGAGGTGACATTTTTCAGATGTTTGACCTCCACTCTCAGGGAGATAGAAGACGTCATTCCTAGAGCACAGACCGCTCAATCAGTCAGCCATAATACATTAATACCAATAGAGACCCCAGTAGAGAGACTGAGGAGGTACAATACAATTGACTTTTTCGGTTCATGAGATGAAGACCTAATTTTCGTCATTAATGGTTGAGAGAGACCATGAGGACTTTGAGATAATTTTACCTTACCCCAAAGGTAAGTTAGAGTGTATCACCGTTTTGCTCAAGGGTGATACTATAGACTGATAGGAGACTGTAGAGATGGCTCTATACCTAAAGGTGCCTACGTGGGATCAATTTTAAAGTGAGTTCAGAGGAAAGTATATAGGTAAGGATGCAATTCTCTCAACTAGTTTAGGGAGATTGCTCGGTGTATAAGTATGAAAACGATTTTCT